TAACCATAAGGCGAAGCTTTACCATGACTTTCACCCGTATGTGCTGCGAATGAGTAAAGTCAAGTTCGTATAGGGGAGCGCTTTTGTCACTTTTTCCCGCATAAGTAGATGACCTCACTGGAGAAAGGTGTTCCATCAACATACAGTGCGTGACCGATCTCATGAAATGTTGGCCGAAATTCTGAAATGCGTTTTCGACTAGAAAGGATTTATAATGTGGCGCTGTAATATTAATTATCATGTAGCATAATGCTGTCGTATTTCGAACTCGCCAGGATGTCGGCTTTTGAACGCACTTCTTTCTGATCTCTCGCAGAAACCGAGCTCGGAAAAAAATGACTACTTAATTAGCATGCATTTTTCACACCCATTTTGGGTATCGATGCAAATTCAAACATATTTTATAGAAAAAATGCACAAAACTATGCTTTCTTTTTTTTACTTGGTATAAAATCACACTGTTTTTATAGTTTATACCCGAAAAAGTATGTATTTAGGTTTTAAAAAAGTTTCTTAATTCACCAATAATTTTGAACCTCATCAGTCGTCACATTAGCGTTTAACGATTTCAGTCCACAAGCTGCATGCGTTTCGCGTAAGGATAATCATGTATTCCTCTATGCCCTTCAGTAGATACTGTATAGAGTTCATAAAATTTTGCAATGGATACGGGCTATGATGTACACTTCAAGAGGAGCATCGGTAAACGGGCACGTGCCATGCTGTATATATAGACATTGCACGGTCTTAAAAACCTCCTAATTAGAAACTTTTTTTAAACCGAAAGATAACCTTCCCTAGGGCATAAAGTATTAAGACAATTTGGTTTTCTACCAAAAAAAGTATGAGGAAGCATATTTTGTGCATGTTTTCTATATAATATATTTGAATTTGTGTAGCCATCCAAAATAGGTTTGAAAAATGCATGCTACATAAGTAGCCATTTTCTTCCGATCTCGGTTTCTTCGAGAGATGAGAAAGAAATGCATGCAAAAGCTGACATCCTGACGAGTCCAAAATACTACACAATTATGCCACATGATGATTAATATTACACCGCCACTTCATAAATCCTTCCCAGTCGAAAACGCATTTCAGAATTTCGGCGAACATTTCATGAGATCGGTCACGCACTGTATTTTTAGGCCTCCTGTATTACCTCGTTTCATTCCTTCCCGCATCCAGAATGTTCAATTGTTATCAGTTGTGACCTCCCTGGACATGGGTTTCTATATCCCCCACCTCCATTAAACAGCTCTATGTTCCATGGACCTGAGCCATTTGGAGTCCTGTCAGACTCGCAGTTTTTAGTTTTCACACTGTGTGCGCTCTTGTCCGCTGTTTGTGTGGCCCTGCTCAGTGTACAACGGCGGCCTCCAACTGCTGCCGATCTCTCTGCATTGTGTGCCAAGAAAGTCGTCGCGTGGGAGGTCCTTTCTCACCGCTCGTCTGCCTCTTGTT